TATATATATATATATATATATATGAGGAAGGTTCAAATGACAACGGTGTAACTTTTACTAAGTGTTACACCACTCAATAACTTTATATTAAATGTGAATTTTGAAAATCCAACCGTTAGATTGAAAATTCATATCTCTTAGATCATATATATCACATTTTTTATTAATCTAAGATGATTTGATACTTCATTCTCATAAACAAAATTGACGTAATATATACATTTCAAAATATACTAAAATATGAACACCTTGATTACCTTCAAGTTGTTGTTCAATTTTAACAAAATTTGATATATATTATCTAAGAGATATGAACTTTCAATCTAACGGTTGAATTTTCAAAATTCACATTTAATATAAAGTTATTGACCGGTGTAACACTTAGTAAAAGTCACACCGGTATCATTTAAACTCTCCTATATATATTGAAAACCATATGATATATATATATATATATATATATATATATGATACTATATCATTCAATGTTAGTGATGATTTGATTTCGTTTTCAATGCTTGAGGTAAATTGATTGAAAATTATTTTCTAGATCCATTTTGAATCAAACCACCTAATTACTTTAAAGGTTAGGAGTAGATTTAAAGTCGTTAATTGAACAAATTCTTAAACTTAATACAAGAACTCTGATCGCATAAAATTTATTTCATGTAATTCGTCCCTTCATACCAGCATCCACAAAGATGTTCATTATTTTAAAATATATTACATATATGTTCCTAAAAATCCTCACTTATTTCATGAATCGATTATTAGTTTAGGATCCTTAGAATTTCTAAAGACAAGAAATTGATTTAGAATGATCTTCAAAAATTCAATACATTGAGTGATAAAAATCATATATAGACAATCTTAGGAGAACAATGGAGTAAGACAAATGAAATTCAATCCTAATAATTTTTCTCATTATTATCTTTCATATTTACATTTGTTTTCTATTACTAGTTTACTTACTAATTCAATATTGAAATGCCAAACAACATATTTATATTCAACTGTAAATCCTTCTTTTACAAGTTTTAATGAAGATATTAAAAATTACAAAATATCTTTCAAGCTCATGTGGATACGACAACTCATTCCTCAATTTTATATTATAACAGACTTAGTACGCTAGTCATGAAAAAATCCAACAACGAACGATAGGGAGATATGAGTGACAATAGCAAACAAACTAAGGAGAGGCATAGACAATGGTGTAGTGTGAGAATGATTGTGGTTCATTAGAGATAGTGAATATGAAGAAGAAAAAGGATCATGTAGTTTAAACAAACTTACAAAATCAGTTATATCTTAACCAATGAAGCAACAATCCTAGGCCATATATTTATTTCGACGGGTGTGGATAGGGTAGTTCAATACTAGAAAAGTTATTTTCTTGCGAATTTTCCTGCAAAAAAATATTCGTAGAAATTTTTTACGAGTTTTCTTGCAAAAAAAATATTCGCATAAATTTTTTGCGAATTTTCCTGGAAAAAATATTCGCAGAAATTTTTTCCAAATTTATCTGCGAAAAATAATTTACAGATATTTCTTACAAATTTTTCTACAATTTTAATAACCATAGAAATTTTTTTCCATGATAAAAATTTGCAGAAAATATTGTAAGAATTTTATTTTGTTTCTTGCAGATTTTCTTGCAAAAATAAATTCGCAAGTAATGTTTACTAAATGGTAGAAAAATTTTGCAGGTAACTTTTCCTGGGAATTTTCCTGCAAATTTTAATCCGCAGGAAAAATAAAAAAAATATATTTAAATTTATAAGTTTAATATTTTAAAAAAACTTCAAGTCCCCACATCGATTGAAAATAAAACAATTAAAGAGTATATAAGTTGAGACAACACTTACCTTACAAGTTGATTTATATGGTTGAGTGTTAGACTTATAATCTACCATCTTAGAATTTAAAATATTATGTATCACATGTTGGAGGCATGGAAACAAATGCTTCGGATGAATTCATTGTGAACATTTAAAAGTTAAAAAATTATTGACAAAATTTATAGTAATTTCTTTATTTTTTTTTCGTAAAAATATTCCTGTAATATTTCTTGCAAAAAAAAATTCGCAGGAAACTTTCATGCGAATTTTTTTCGCAAGAAATTTCGCAGGAAAATTTCCTGCAAATTTTAAAATTCGCAAAAAAATATTATCCACGAAAGTATTATCTGCAAATAAAATTCGCAGGAAAAGTCGCATGTAATAAGAAAAATTATAATAGTGGTTGGTGCTGATGGAAGGAGGTATAGTTGACTTCATAAGTGTATTAACTGTTTCTCTATTTTGCTCTTGTGGGAGGTTTCCGTAGGATTTATCTATTTGCAAATGTTGATATGTTGTGAGTTGAAGTTAGGTTGGAAAGTCTTATCTTATTTTATTTTTTTTTTATAATTTTATTCATAAATGAATATTAATTTATTGTATTTTTTATTTATTGTATTTTTACTAATATATATATAATAAAAAATATATAATAAAAATGAAAATTCTAAAATACAAAAAAAAAGTAAATTTTATTTTCTTAAAGAACAAAATATTTGTTATGCTTAATATTTTTAGTTTGGTTTGTATTTGTATTCACTCCGTACTTTATTCAAGTAATTTTTTCTCGGCAAAATTGTCCAATGTACTTTAATTAGATCATATATCTCTAACATTGTAATTTTGAAAAACTCTACTCTTTATATTTGGGTTTGGATACCTCTTATACCTATTATATATTAATTTTGTTGTTCAAAAAAAATATCTTAACCAATTTTGTATACCACATTTAAATGATTATACATATAAACAATTTAAATTATGGGATACAAAATTGGTTAAAATATCATCAATTTCATATGTCCTCTGCTACCCAAAATATCAAATCAATTATACATATAATTGATTTTAAATATGTGATACGAAATAATTTTGATGTAATCAATGTTGTAAAACTAACATTGCGTCATATATTAAATCGGTTGTGAAATAATTATTTTAATAATTTAAGATTTAAGATTTAACGTTGTGTGTTATTTTATTATAACATATGACCGATGTAAAATAATGTAAGACTTTATAATATATATAT